GCAACATTGCACGCAACATTGCAAGCAACAAATTTGAATCGGGGTGACACATTGCAACAAAATCACGCAACATCTCTTGTGTCAGCCTGCTATGTTAAGATATTTGGTCAGCAGTTATAAATTTGGTGCAAGCTGATTGGCTGAAAATTTCAAAATGTTGCAAGTAATGTTGCAGCCATGTTCACACGATGAAATTTGTTGCGCGCAATGTTGCAAGAGTAGAGCGCGATTCAACTTCAGATTTGTTGCATTCAATGTTGCGTGCAACAAGTCAATTTTGTGGTAGACACGCTGCAACAGTCCTGTTGCGTGCAATGTTGCACCGTGTGTCAGCACCTTCATTGTTTCCATGTTAACCTCACATCCACGATACTTTTGATAAGTGTGGGGTCCATTGGGAATGAAAAGAAATGTTCTAAACAAGATCTTCCACTGACAAAGCTCCATCTATAATTTTGCAGAAATACACCYGTACGATGCAATGTACAAAAATGAAGTAGCGCAATTGAGGAAAATCGTCGACGAATTTGTCAGGAATATGAAAGCAAATACAGAATRTTTGAGAAAMGCACACAGAGAAGACATAAAAAAGCTAATACAGCTCGAGAAAGAAAAGAAAAAACGTCAAAGAGAGGAAACCGGCCAAGAAAGACCACAGGTAGTCCAATCATGTTAAAAGAAATTGTATGGCGATACTTAAAAAACCTTAATAAAATCGTCCAAATGTAAAATAAATTGAAGAATTTTTAGCTGACCTTTGAAACGTAGTACCTCTTTTGCCTTGTTTACTTAGATTTCGGATATACTAAATTTTCTTTCTTAACTTTTTTCTTTTTCACATTTTGACGAGGTTTTTAAGCATCACTATTAGCATTAATAGCATTAATATGACACCACAGGAACCTAGCTTGGGCTACCTGTGGAAAAAACCAAAGTTTACTAATGAGCCCTTTGCAGCTCAGTAATCACGTACTGATTAATTCACTGAGAGAAAATGAATGAACATCTTGTTTTCCATGGGTGAATTCAAGAGAATATTCTCTTGGTGAAATATACTAGTGAGCAAAATAAATTTCTACAACCCGTTTCAAAAGATCATAATAAAACTGCGTCTTGTGACACACTGGTTACACATCGTTTCATTCAGTTCTTTACAAAGTAGCTAAAAAAGAATCTCCAATTTAAAATAAAAAATTAGCTCAACAGTACAGCCACGTAACCGTTAACTGCAAAGGGCCTATTGGATACTAGCTTCGTAAGTAATGTAATCGTATAGTCGCAATCGTAATCTTAAAGGTACGACGCAAGCAGAATCGTAAGCATCGCTTCCTTGTTATTTTCGAATAGATTCCTGCCAGCTTCGAAATATTCAAAGCTGAGAGAGAAAGTTTTTTRYGCAACGATTGATCACTGTCTTTTTTTCTTCCTTTTATCAGACTTGAAACGTTTCCATTTTTCTGCTTTTAATCATGAACGTTTTGAGAGTCCTTGTCCGCATTTCAGTTCTTTTTATATAAGTGTATGTATTTGGTTATTTTTATTTCTTTGTTATTTAAAAAATAACAAGGACAACAACAAAAAATAAGTCACTAGTATAATATTTGTTTTCAACAAGTAAAACACTTCAAAGAAAAGTATTTGACGGATACAACTTTTGCCCCAAAGCTTCAGTGCAAACAGAAGTATTAATCAGAAGCTTGGATTTTTTTAATGTGCTGACCGTTTTTGAAAAATTCCACCTTCAACAATTTACAATAAAATCTAACAAAAGGCAACTCACTCAAAAATTTTTGAAGGTGGATTTTTCAATAAAGGTGCACCTTTACAAGTAATTTCCGGCGTCGTAGGAGTCAAATGGTTAACGTAATGTACATAAGAACTAAACTTGTATGATCTTGATTACAATTTAAAATAAATAGTATAGCTATGAGTGGTGTTTTGAAAATTCAAGGGCTTATGCTTTTATTATCAAACTGCTTATTAATAGAGAAARGTGTTTAGTGATAAAATTACAAAATTCTTGAAATAATCGTATCGGCTGAACCTTGTGTAMATGCAGAAAGTGATTTTCCTCATTCATGGAATTGTTCATAATTCCTGCAATTAAGCATAATTCCCCGAGTTCCTTTTGGCTAGAGACCRATGATAAATCATTTCTATACTACTGTCCTAGCTTAGCTTAGTCCAAGCTACTAAATAATTTTATCATAAAAGAAACAGTGAGTAGACTAGTAGAGGTTGAATATTTGTTATTTCCAACATTTTTGTTGGGGTCTATTTGACTAAGTATCAGTATACACTGACTATACTTAACATTCTTTAACAGTCTGAGGAAAGTCACTCTACTCGCAATAATGTGTGTGTATATATATATATATATTTTAGCTCCTATTTCTAGCCCAATATATTGTAATATAAAGTGCACGTCATATATCCTTTAAGGCAAAACCAAAGATGTAATGTCAAATTTGATTGAATGAACAGCAAAACCATAATTTCAAGTCGAGGTTCATCATGACTTGATGAATAAAATAATCAAGTTTGGTCTTGACATAGTTAATGGAGCAGAATGGTTGGGAAACCCATTGTTCTATGTTTTTGTTCAACTTTATCCATTGTTATATGACATTGACGGTGCACAGAAAAGGAAAAGTTTCTCCATTTGTTCATAGTATTCGGGAATATAAAAGTTTTTAACCCTAAAAAACGTTCTAAAATAATTATTTGTTAATTAATCCTATATGATTAATACAAATTGTTTATTGAAAAGGAAATTGCCTTTTTTCATGCTTTCTTATTCATCATCTAGTAACTTAACTGTATCTGCGCGGAAGTATTTATCCGCATAGTTTGTGGTCATCGAATGAAAGTTTTCACTTTCAAAATGTTCGTACATGAAAATAATAAGGAAATGAGCATTTTCAGCCATACCTACTTTGGTTCATTGTGCACCCTCAGTATCACGTGATGGTACGGTTCAACATCAAACGCAAAACAATAGCTTTGTTCTATGGAGTTTCCAAACCATTCCGCTCCATTAACTATGGTCTTGACTTCTAACCACTGTTAGTTTGGTGGCATGGAAAAGGTATATTGTAGCTATCAGTTGTGCAAAATAGTAAATGTATAKCATTGGAGGAGTAGARCATTGCAAACTACAAAAAGCAAACACCTCTAGAGGGTCCTGAAAAGGAAAAATGGGAGCTTGCATTTCATGTTTTGTGGGCTGGGAAAATGGGATTGTGTGTACTGGGAATGGACTATGGRATTTGGTCAAAATGGGGGCTGGGAAATGGGATAAGGACCCCCTCCCCCCTTTCAGGACTCTTCTTTACCTCTTTGTTTGGTAATGCCTGAGTATTGGACAACCAAAAATAATTGATACTAAATGCATAGTGCTGTACATAGCTATAGTTGGGGGTGGATCTAGGAGTTGATTAGGGGGGGTGTCCCAAATAAAAAAAAAAACATGCGTATATAGATAAGCATTCATCACTTCAGAAGATGGTAATTTACGGCGTTATTAGATACGTGTGCGGTACACCACAAGACACCCCCTGGATCCGCCCCTCCTAGATATATTTTAAAACTCTAGATTGTTAGATTTTTATGCTTTGTTCTCAGATTAAATCAATTYTTTTCTTGTAATCTTCGATATCTTGTTTACTGATTGAATAAAGACTGTCAATGTTAATAGCCATAAATGGATGTAGTTCAACATTTGCTTCTGAAAATCTGCCCCTAGTAGTGACACTTTACTGGGATACCTGCTGCAGGCCATTCGCAAAATGCCTTTTTTTCTTCTGATTAAATCCTCTGCGACAAAAGGGATGAGGGCAAAACAATTGTCATTTCACGGGACCCTATTTAGGGGGGGTGGGGAGGTGTTGCCCGGTACCCACCGCCTCTGGAAGTGAAATCTTAGATTTTGTACCAAATATCTCCAAAACTAAAAGCCAAATCACAGAAATGGACTGTCTGTCTGCATGTATGCTAAAAATCATATTCGTGTATAGAAATTGCCACTACAGACCCCTACAGTATCGAGCATTTGATGAGGTCTCTGAGGGGGAGGGGGTAAGTACCGATACCAACCACCTTAATTCATAAAATCGGGTCCCTATTTTGGACCATTGTTTTGACCTTGTATGCATTGCGGCCTCAGTCAATGGGGATCCTGATTGTTTCAGACTTCGAAAAATCTGTTGTTGAAAGTGTTTTGTTTCCCTCSAAAAAAGTGCTTCGAAAATCTTCATGTGCAATGACGGAAACAGCCTCATATTTTGATCCGTTCCCTTGACCCTTTGCGTGTTTAGTGAAAAATTCTTGAGAGAGGACTGAGGAGGAGTCAGGTTTCTTGGTGTGACGGGCTTCCTGTGCTTGACACGACATCGAGGCCATACTAGTCCTAGTCCACGGGCGGTCATCTTTCTTTCTTTCTTTGAAGATCTCAAAATGGCTGGAGGTAAAAAGCTTTCTAAAGAGGACGAGCTTCTTCTTCAGAACTTCAGCCGATCCGTTTCTACCAAGTCAAATGTTCTCTTTTACGCAAATGCCTTAGTTGTATCCGCCATTCCACTATGTAAGAGTCTTTATCGTCATATTTTATTGATCTTTTGTTACGTCCACGTTGCACTTACATAAAATTTCTTCATTTATGACTTGCTCTTAGGGCTTTTTTGGAGAATCCACCAAATGGATCCCTACTCCTCGGGCATTCTCTTTGTGGTAATGACTCTGGTTAGTACTTGGCTGATTTCTTTTGCATACAAGAACGTGAAGTTTCAGCTTAAGCACAAGTAAGTAGTGAACAGCCATTGAAACGAAATCCTATCCTTTTCATGGTCTACGTTCAGCTTTCTCATTGGTCCATTTATTTTTGAGATGTTTTTGAAAGGTTTTGCTAAAYTTTCTATAACTGATGCTAAACTGCTTTTTCTTTGATCTCAAAAGTATTTTTTTAAATTGCTGTATCCGAGAAAGACAGTCTCTTTTAATCGTATGCTATGGTCTATTCATAACACACCGTTCAGGGTATACAAACGATTTCATTGGTTTTAAACTTATTATCTATACTCTACCGTTTAATCAAGTGTCAATGTATACATTAGACCGTGTAACATCCACGCTAGTTCTACTAGTTATCACCACTCATGTAATTATAAATTGACCCTTCTCAGAAGTATRTTGTGTCTTGGATGCAAGGCTATCATGAAAATAAAAATATTCTCAGTCTTTTTCTCAGTGAATTTGTGGCATTGCTTTTGTCTTTCCATGTTAGCCTTGCATTCAAGTCTATATTGAGAAGGCTCCTTAATCCTCTTAGAAATTATTAAATAAGAGACATTAACWAATTACTTGACGCTCATGCACCCTACGATGTGAAGAACGATTATGAACTATTTTTTACCCCAGGATTGCACAGAGAAGAGATGCTGCAATTACCAAAGAAGTCAACCAGGATTTGGATCCTAACAAGAAAATGACAAGACAAGAGAAGGATGAAAGGTAAGCAGTTTCTCATTTCCTTGTTGTAGCTTTGGGAAAGTATGGATGAAGCTTCATTCTTAAGGTGATTCCCTTGAAAGAAATTTTGCCAATAACTTTGTCCTGAAACATTGCATGGACATTAATTATGTTATGGACATTTAAAAACTGCAATAAAAAGATGGGGTCACCATTCTCGGTATTTCACTAGGTGCTCTCCAAATATGTCAGTTTATAGGTTTTATAGTGAAATGCGGTAGCAACCGGAAGCTGTAATCAAGAACCTTTATTCACAGTTAAAAATACTTTCATATAACAAAATGTAATTATGGCTTAAAGTTTGCAAGATAATCTATGCTATTAAATCCATCAAAGTCATTGGATGACTATGATTCTTGAAGTGTTAGTCTAAAAATTGCAAATGTCAACTATTCCCTTCAAAGTATTTCAAAATCTATCCAATAAACTTTCCTTCATATTTTGATGTATATGATGAYGAGCATYGCATTTATCAAAATCTGAAACAAAAAAWTGGGGGTCACCATTCTCGTTTTTGAATCATCTTGAAAAGGCATCTCAAAATAGTCGAAAAGTGACACTTTTCCAAGTAGTGGAGACCGGGGCTAGCCAGATAAAGATTGCAGTTTCTAAATTAGTTTTCGAAAGAAAAATGCCAACACTTCGTTAGTTCCATGCTTTAAGTTGCATGCGCAGAAAAATGCGCAGTGCAAAATAAGGGAATTACCTTTAGTAAAGGTAGAAGAAGTGCTTTACAGTAAAAAATGAAGAAATAGAAAATGTGTGCAAGTGCTGTGTGCAATTATAAGCACACAGGGCTGGGCAGGACATGAGAGAAGTGTTAGGAGAAGCACGAAGGGCAGCGGAGTGGTTCTCAACACTTCTCGATTGTTCTGCCAATCCCCAAGTGTTTTGTGACTCCACACAGCACAGCAAGCTAGTTTTTTAATTTCTTTTATAAAATACAATTAATTACAATAACCGTTATTTTAGATAGGAATGAYGCAACTGAAAGTGTGTGCTCATGCATTGTGCTCTCAAAGCATGCGCTCCCAAGTAACCTGAATGGGTGATCTATAACAGTTAGTATTAGATACAGTATAAGAGGTAATGTTGTATGGTACAGGTATATGTACTGTAAGAACCTCACTAGTATCATACACCTGTTTTTATACTTTTTATTGAAATCTTTTCTGTTCTTAMATTTTTCCAGAATCCTCTGGAAGAAAAACAAGGTTGCTGATATGGAAGCTATGACATTCTCCATCTTCTATAACAATGCTCTCTACTTGTTCCTGGTTCTCTTTGCTTCTTTCTTTGCATTGAGGTCATTCAATCCTTCAGCGTATCCTTAACATTGCTTACTGGTTAATTGTCACAGTATAAAGTAGTTTGGGCATGAGTGGGAAACAAAGCTCGGCAAATTTGTAACCATACTGTCTGTGACTATACCATATTATATTGTACCCGTAACTATGCGTTTTTGATTGGATAAATTGTTGGGGGGGGGAGGGGGGGTGTTAAGTGGTATCCTTTTCAGGCCTTACCTTATTTTTTATTCTTATTATTTTTAAATTTCGAAGGGGGCTTACTACTCAGCCAACCCCCCCTCCCTCCCCCCTGCATCTACCCTGTTTTTTTTTCATCCAACTTTCATGAATCGCTGTTACAATTAAATGGTATGTTGGAATAAACCTTAACTTATTACAGCAACTATCTGATGTCTACTTCAGTTGCAAGTGGGATTTTGGCACTCCTGTCTACAGGAACATCAACTTCATCCTAAGCAATAGCCAGTGGTGCAAATAAAGTCATCTGCAACATTATATCTTTTCCTTTGACATCAATTATAATAAAATTTTAGTGAAAATATATATTTTTCGAAGTCCTTTGTTTGTTATTTTCTAAAAACTGCTGGGATAAAATATATAGTAGTTATACAGTGGTTTGGAGTAGAGCRCAGGCATTTAACCCGTGAAATCATTGTGTAATATTCAAAAAGACACAAAAGAAAACAATGGACTGAGGGTCTACTAAAGTGTATTAGTCTAACATCTATTTCACAGGTTTAATGACTTCACTCTAGCATAAATGCTAGTTATGCAATGCTTACAAGTGGCATACCATTTTCCCACATGTCACTATATTTGTTTGTATCTACAAAAGCCTTTAAGTTGAGCATACAAAGAAAAAGCAAGTAATTAGTGGGATATTCTGTGGTGTGCCATAAGAGAGCATATTGTATAACCACCTTATCTGATAYTATAGAAAATACAAATGTGTAGATTCAACATTCAGCACATGTTACAGAGGAAAAGGGAAATACCAACAAATATACAAGAGCTTTCCTGCATTCTGATGGACTGTATTTTCTATAGTGTGGAATAAAATGGATATCCCATATTTCAGGCACTCATGCTTTTTGGTATAAGTACAAGGCTCTTAGCAACAAATGGGCTATTCTATAGTATGTCACTGTAAGAAAGCATTAAAGATTTTGGCCATTCCAATTGTACCTACTGTAGGCTGYAATCAATTCCTGATGGTTGAAATACTACCAAATATACAAATATCATAWTTCTATATTGCAAGCTTCAGCTTCACATACCTTTTCATTCTTGGGAATGCATAATACCAAAGTTTTCCAAGCGAAGTAAAGATGTTTAGTATGGGTAAAGACCAAATGAGTGTGCATTCAGAATGGTCAGCGCAAGTTTTAAAAGCAATGGTGTTCAACTAAATTTAGCTTGGGTAGAATGTAATGGACATTTTAAAACAGTTTGAAACTAAACAATAAATGATGGGAATGAGTCCACATGCATAGGTGTGCGTACACAGTTTGTTTTCGTTACCAGTTTATCAAGCCACTTATCTGGCTACCACAATACTATGTTGCCACTTTGATTCTCTTCTAGCCTGTGTAGTGGCCCTCGAGGGGATCCCTCGAGTCCCCAACAGCACTGCTGCGCACTCTATTTTTCTTCTTGAATTTTTTACTTCGAATGAAATATTCATGGTAATAGTAATTCATTAAAAAGCTAGTTAAACAACTTGGATATTGTTCTAATGATTTCAGAATATTTGCAGAGTAATGAAATAAAGAGAAAAATTGCTGGGGATAATATAGYCAATTTGACAAAAGAGAGGGGATATTGTTTGCAATTCCCAAAATCCTTTGCAAATGGGAAAAGGAGGACACGTCAATCACCGTTCTCAACAGCCAATCAGATTGTCGAAAAATTATGGGATACGACCAAAAAGATGGGCTTGGCAAGATTTTGGCGAGGGCGTCAAGAAGGAGAATTTGGTGTTTGATCACCCTTACCTATATACACTCATTGACTTCACACCATGATTTTATTCCAGAAAAATGAGATTTATGTAGTTTTTTTAAGTATGACTGGATTTTTTATTTGTTTAGAATCATTTAATTTGACAAAAAACATRTTTTTTAAAAGAGTTTTTCGTGAAAAATAATCTAACAAAATCATAACATTGTAGTTTAATTTCTCCGGAAGAGGAAGCCCGTGTACCACGTGAGAYAGCGTAAGGAGAAATTAAAATCCTCACTAAAGTATTTTATCTTTTATAGATATAAAGCCGGTAATAAGTAATGATAACTTGAGAAAATTAAGTAAATTTATTTCAAAAATAAAATAAAACTGTGTTTGTAAAATGATTGAAAAGTTTTTAAAAACAGTTTGTAAGATAAKATTTTGTTTGTTGATCAGAAACGTTTTTCTTACAACAAAGTGCTTTCTGTTCAGCACCCAGGCTCAACGCGGAGGCCTCACGGCTACCRTTTCAATATGTTAAAACTCTTCGACTTGAAAGAAAAAACAGTATAGTTTATTGTTCTTTAGTTTTCTCTTAAAACAAGCCTCTTTAACGGTTGATAACTCGCATACCATGTCGTAGGATGTCTTCAAGTAGTAAGAAGAAGGATCCTAGTGCAGTAAATGACAGCTTAAATGGTGGGTATTGAAGTTTTGTTGACCGTAGTGAACTGGGCCGCAGATAAGCTTAATTTTTTGCTTTTCTTTATACAAACTTATCCCTAAACTTATTGCGTTTTTTTTCAAAATAAAAACCGAGATCAAACCTGGGAGTCTTTCTTTTATGTTGGCTAGGTTTTTTCAGAAAGATAACCATTTAGGAATAATAACTTTTCCTGTAGTTGGAAACAGAGTTTAGAATTGGCGCCATTGTATGACACATGGGATTCAATCACATCGGCTTTCATCATTTTGAAAAAAAATCGCTGTTCTTMTCGCTAAACCGGTCTAACCATTAATCCCAAACATTCCTTTTTCTTATTCGAGATGAATATTCTTTTAAATTCACGATAAAAATGTTTGTAGTACAGTTTACTTATATTTAAAAGACCCGGGTCGCCGCGGAMTCTTTGTCGTGGGGGCTTGGACAAAATACGATGCATAACTTATATCATTTTATTACGTGACTGCTTAGTTATACCCTATAAAACACGTCAATACTCTTCGTATTTCTTTTATTTTTCATCAATTCTAGCGATATTATGCCTATCTTCATTTCATTTTTGATGGATTGGGCATTGTTTCTAGTTTTTATGTGGTTTGTGTCAGAGGATTCCAAGCTTCTTCGCCGGTCAAAACCATTCGTCTTTATCACCTGTCTAATGGCTGCTCTAACCTTCACTCACACAACATATCGTATTTATTTCACCAAAGCAATGATTAAAATGCTTTATGCTATCTAAGTTAACCATTTTTGCAGTTTTTATAACACATTTTAATCTTTGGAAGAGATAAACGGATATAAGTTGACAGTTTATACCCCATAGTCAATCGATAAAAATAGTCAAACTCTAAACGGAACTTCGTCTGTTCATATAAGCTGAATTATATCTTTAAGCCGCTGCCCTAGTATAATTCTCATTTTAATGGATTTTTAACGATTAAAATTGACATAAAGAAAAAAGTGTGACATAGATTTTTACAGTCTGATAAATAGCAATCAGTAATGATAAAAGAATAAGTTATAGGCTCGTAATTTACCTATTACGCATGTTCTTATAAGTTATGCGCCGTGAAAAGATGAAAAAACTCACTGACGTTTAAGACTCTAGTCCTTCGTCGGAGTAAAATAGCAATCAATCAAGTATGTTAATAGRCCTATAATGGTTTGAAGTTGAGACTGAACTTGATTCTTTTATTCATCGAGTTCAACCTCGACTTGAAACCATTGTTTCGTGACCAGTCAAGCGAATTAGGGATAGGTCTATTCTCACCGATTGATTGATCCGCAAAATCGGTATTGATTTTTGTGTCTACTGCATATTAATAAGCAGTTGACACTATGTCATCAAGTTTACGTGGGTATACTTCATATCCTATTTAACTAGCCAAAAATATAGCAAAATGGCATGATATGAGTGACATGAAGAAGTGTATCCCATGTAAGGAATGTAAAACTTTGGGTTAATTTCGGATTCCATGTATATAGCACGTGCACAGCTAGCGGCAAATGGCAGTGATATCCGATGTTATTCAAACTCCCGTGCACTAACATCAAACAAACTCAATTTACATGTGGTGACCACAGGGCTTGAACTTTCGACCTGTCCGGTTGTACTCAAAGCAGTGAAAGGTGAGGCCTTAGCAGCGTACACCACCCATGCTAGCCATAAATTATGAAATGGCTATAAATAAGTTCTATTTCAGCTAACCTCTGGAGTTAGCATTGTGTGTTTTGAAGATTCTGGTCTCTTGACTGTCAATTTTAATGCAATTCTGTTTGTCCTTTCAGAGGAAGAATCTATGGAAAAGCCAGTCAAAAGAAAAAAGAAAGAAGAACTCAAAGAAGATGGTCAAAGTAYGCCAAAGAAAGTCCATTCAGCCAAGAAGAGAAAGAGAGATGATGAACTTGAGGTACGGATTAGCAATCTGGACTGGGTACCATTTTGTTATTGATATCTATCGACTATTTTGGTAAACCTGTTTAATTGATTAATTCCCACTCCTCATAAGGCAAATTTGGTTGGCAAATATTTATCTATAGTGTTTGGAGAATGTTCAGCCAGAAATGGAACTTGTCTGGTCAAATATTTGCCTTGCTGGTCAAAAGTATTATTTAGCCAGAGACAAGATATGACTGAGCTAATATTAATGGGRTTGGTCATCATAATCTACAATTGACCAAACCCCTATTTGAAGTCCTGCACTTGTGTTTATTCTCARCCAGAATTCTCATTTACAGCATGGAATTCTACTCAGCACATGTACAGTAGACCACCAAGTCTACTTTATTTGATCAAACATCCATTACTAAAATACCATTTGTATATAAAATTATGATAATGTCATCACAGGATGGCGAGGGGGTTCTCTAAGGGGGAAAGCATCATGAATTTTAGATTATGCAAGAATCACAAATCACAGAAAATAATGTTTCCCGATCACTGGTCCCAAAAATAACACAAAACAATCACAATTTCATGCAAATTATGCCCTGTACAGCTTCTGTTATAATATTTGTTGTCAAAATACAAAGTACAAATCACTTTTGGTGCTAACATAATCTGTCATTAGTGTAACTATGTTCACTTAAATTTACAGGAAGAAGAAGATTTAAGCTTACCCGAAGAAAATCCAGATCAGCCTAAAAAAGCTACAAAATGTGATGAGGAAAAGAAAGAGGAAGTGCAAGTGCAAGTGCAAGAAACAGAAGCTAAAGCTGTGGTTAGTACCCTTAACTATTACTCTGTATTATTAGACTATATTTTACCATATATATTTCTTTTCATAGAGTGATTTACAGATTATTTGGGATAAATTTAGGTGTCCAACGCATTTTTCATCCCAGCTAAATTTTCCAAGTATTTTATGTTATCTTTTGTCAAAATGATTTTTTTCAACAACAGTGATGAAATATGCTATTTCTGAAAGATATTCCATAAATTATTCTACATGAGTTTTATWTTAATCGAGGAAAACCTTGTAACTAGGAAATATAGAGAGCCAAACAAAATGGTTGCCGATTGGCTAACTTATTGTTTTTGAAACCAAAAAAAAGGGGTAATAAACACATTTATTTGATAAATTATTGAAAAAATAATGATACTAAAAACCTATTGAAAACCTAAACCTATTGACCCAATCCACTGTTTTCCCATTTTAGACCATGTGTCATTCCAGAGTGTCATTTTTTTTTGGTTGCACATGATAAGATGCATGGATAGATACAACTCAAACRAAAAATCTTATTCTCRAGAGAATGACATGTGGTTTGGATTGGGCAAAACATTACGCTCAAGTGGATTAGGTCCATTTTTTGTCATAATTTCTTACACCAGGAATTTTGCTATTGTCAGCAATAGTAGTGTCTGTAATATTGGGTTGGCCCAAGACTAGAGTTGTCTGTAATYGGTAAAGTTTAAAGTTTCTGCAATTTACTCTTACCCAAACTCTGTACTTGAAAGTTGCCAGTTGGAATTTGGTTTTGCACTGCTAGCTAGTCAAAAGTGTAAAAGGTGCCGGCTGATTATTTTTGATTGACTGAAGTGAAATAACACAATTCAGTTAAATACAGCATATATACACAGTGGCGGATCCAGGATTTTTCAAAAGGGGGTTCCGTTTCTTAAACTGTGTACAATWCTCTTTTGTTTAGTCGATGTTTGACAAAAAAATTGGCTCTAATCACCTAATTTACCCTCTAGTAACAGACCAAGCTATAATAACACGACCCAACGCAAAACTACTAATATTTTTTTATTAAAATTTATATAAGACWTATTTCTATTACCTAAAAGATCAAACCTTCAAGGGGGKTTCCGTGGACCCCTTTGACCCCCCTGGATCCGCCACTGATACAGCTGAGTTTGTGTAATATCGAGAACTGTGTGAGCACTTTAAAATGTTTGATACCATACYCTTTTGTTAGGCACAACCACAACGKGGACAAACAGTTGCCAGAGACCTTGGTCTTGTCCTTGTGACTCCAAACCTTTCCAAGGAAGAAGAAGAAGGAATAACCTACTTGAAGTTCACCAAACTTGTTAGACAAAATATAGCTAAAGCTAACCCAGGTGCTGAGCATACTAAGATTAATGCCTTGCTTGGAGCTATGTGGCAAGACTATAAACAATCAAAAGATCCTGGTGGAGACGCTAATGGGAAGAARCCTAGAAGTAGGGCCAAGAGAGGTTCAGGGAAAAGAACAAAGCACAGAAAACCTGATGTAAGTATGTCAACGTCCATGATAGAAAAAAAGTGTAATATATATATTCCAATTAATATCTTTGCTCTAATACTATTAAAAAGTATATACTTTTTACTACCATTAGTATATGTAATAGGACTCCATGCAAGTCCAATTTGGCAGTCAGAGGAATTTTTCGAGTCTAATTTCTTGATTGGGGAGCATAAAATCCCATTACCTATTAATTATATAGCAGCCTAATTAATATCATATCAACAAGACCTGTCCAATTAAGAAAATAATTGGACAGTTACCTATATGGGATTAATGAGAAGCTGTATAATTACTCTAATTATTCTGTTTTCAAATAAATCCTGAAAGTGTTCTGCTTTTCTTCAGTCTGACGATGACTTGTTTATAAATGACACTGATGAGGAAATAGACTTGGACAGTGAGGACAACGAACCAATTGTTACAAAAAGCAGAGCAAAGATTAAGCTGCCTTTTCTTAGTAAGCTGAAAGGGAAGTCTAGAGGTACTTATATATTTTTGTCATAGTTATTTTTAAAAGACCTAGTAATACAATTTTTTATTGTAGTAAAAATACTATATTGAAGTCAGGATTCATAAAGATACTTGAAATGTTTGTCTCTGACTTAAAACKTTTGAAACATTTTTATTAATAGACGTTTGGATCCGTGACCACCGATCTTCTTCAGTGTGCCTTTGGTATTTGGGCACGCCTATTTAAATGTTGGTGTGAGCACGTACTAGAGTCCCTTACAAGAGTTATATATTTTTCTGGAAGCTTGATGCAGTGGTTCTTTGACTTAAGATGTTTGATTACGGATCAAAACGTCTGTAAGAATGTTTTTAAAAATTTTAAGTCRGAGACAAACATTTCAAGTATGGTTAACATAGTTCTGTAACAAATTATGATGCATTGTTAAGTATTAATGATAAGTATAATATTTGACTTGAATAAAGAGTTTTGCTCACTGTGATTGGTCGAGCGACTAATAATTATGAAACAATATTCACTGTTTGAGCTGTGATTATGAGTTTGCCAGAGCTGAAGTTATATTAAACATTTTTTTATCCCGAGTCTCATCTTTTATTCTGATATTCAAGTCTAAAATTATACTAAAACAGTGATTCACATCAGGCTCAATGAATATGGTGAATATTTACCTCACCACTCAAAGACTTGCAGCTCGATAAATATTCTTCTATTTTTAGGTACCAAAAATGTATAATTAATGAACCAACATTGCAAATTCTATATTGAGTTATCCAGTGCTTGTTACAGATAYTCTGACAAGATCAACTCTAAATATTCATAAGATCCATGAAAGTCTTTCTCAGCAACAGGATTTTAGCTACAATTTTAGAGATAAACTGTGTCAAACTCATTATGCTTTTTCTGTTTTCAGGAGAGAAAAAAGGCAAAGGAGATGATGAGAGTGATAAATGTAGCGAATCAAGTAGTACAGCAAGTGGGAAAAGCCGAAGAAACAAAATCAAAAACAAAAGGAAAAGGAAAAGTGATGAGAAAGATGACGATGAAAGTGATCAAAGTTATAAAGAGATACGYGTGAGCCAGTCCCGAAGGAAGGTGCAAAAGACTCGTTCTATCAAGATCAAAGACACGACAGTAAAACGAAGTAAAGACAAGAAGCGACACAGAGCTCGTAAGGGAWAATACGATATTCATTAATTCTCTCTTGACTTTTATGGATAATACTTTAAGGTACTCATAAGTTTTTATCTTAATTTCAGGTGACAATGATGAAGTTATGGGAGTGGTAAGTTTTAAAATGTTTTAACACTTAGCTTATTAATACTCATACTAGATATTAGTGAGGCTATGGAGTTAGGCTATGTGTAAAAGAGAGTTATTTACCTTTAGTCAATTTATTTTAGTCCTCAGTTTTTAGATCCCCCAAAGCAAGTCTGATGGGCCATCGGTGTAAGCATTTTCATTCCCAGATCTAACGCTCTTATGGTCCAAGATGGTGAAAGAAAACAAAATATTGGACATTGTACTCTTGAAGACTTGATTTTTTTAAAATGACCTTTCTACATGATTGGTTTTAAAGAGGCTCATAGTGGTTTKTGTTTTGACCATATTTGATTTTCATTTGGCTTACTGACAGACTTACTCTGCACCTATGGGTTTGATTTTTTTACCAACTATATTAGATACAAAAGTTTTGATTGATGTCAATTTTAGCTTGATCAGCATTACCCTAGCAACAATAAACAATTATTGAAAAATTAACTGTTGAAGAAAATAACAAGAGTGTCATTAAAATTACTCTCAATCTGTGTCACCATTTTGATGTGGAAGTAATACTAAGCAAGATTTTTGCTGGATRCCTAAATTGTAAAACATGGTTGTCAAATGGAATACTAATTTAAGAAAATAATTTTTGGATTCTGATCAAGAAATCCTGTTGATTTGTTAACATTTCATCTCAACTAGTTTCAATTTGATTGTTTATGAAGGACGAGCACCAGGATTACTGTGAAGCATGTGATGAAGGAGGTGACCTCTTACTCTGTGATACATGTACCCTGTCATGGCATCTGGGATGCTTGGCTCCACCTTTGGATGATCCCCCAGATGGCAGATGGAGTTGCCCTGTTTGTGTAAGTATCTCTAGAAAATAACCAACAGGTAACTTCCAGTAGTAAGACTTAAAATAGTGGCTGGGCATTCACYAGTCATGATAACTAGCCAATGACAAATGTTAGTCTTAGTAGCTTGGTCATACCTCATTAATTCCTGTCAAAGACTTGAATCTTTAAACTTTAACAAGATTTGGGCTAATTTATAATCGTGTGTTATTTCTATGACTTAAAGGAGGTTGAGATGACAAGTACTTCTAGTGAGGATATCCACAGTGATTACTGCCGTGTATGTAAAGATGGTGGTCAGTTGCTGTGCTGTGATAAATGTCCCATGGCATATCATCTAAAGTGTCTCATTCCCCCCATGAAAAGAGTTCCGTCTGGAGAATGGAAATGTCCAAGATGCCAGGTACAGCTATCTTCATTAGATTTGGTTAGAAAAAGGCCTTAACTGGTTTAGAATGAGTTCTGGGACTTGAGAATATTTCCTAAATGTGTCCTGATACACGTTAGAATGAGTTCTATTCTTTCTGACAAGAATGAAAATAATGGAACTAACTGGAAATAGACCCCTTGCATGTGACGTCAAAACATCCCATTTAGTGGACAAGACAAAAGAATTTATAATCTCATTAGAATTKGAAATCTATTGTTTTGCCTTTCAAATTGTGCACCTGCATTCCAAAGTGCAGCAAGGGGTCTATTCCATCCCTAACTTCAGTTAGAACAGACATATATATATAAATATATGGGTCTCATAATACAACCTGGAAACTCCTGGCATGATGGATCAAATCTACTTGCGCGTACTGCATGTTATTTCTTAGAGTATCACAAATTCTATGTTTAAGGGTTGTGCATGAGAATACGCATGAATATGGTACAACTTAAACAAAGAATTGTATTCTCAATCACTTTAGGCTTTGCAATAAAGGCTTTGCACCATCAGATGTCGGCAACCATRTTAGATGGCAGGTACAGTTCARTCGTTTTACATRAGAAAGTATTCAATTCCCAAGAGTAAAGGGATTTGGTTTTTATGCCATCTTACCACAGGCAGCCCAAGCCTTGTTATGGATGTGGGCGCGATTATGTTGCAAAGCCTCTATTACTGTATTATCAGTGAAGTACTAATTAACTTTGAATACATTTGTACTTAAATTATTAATGTTGCTAATATAATTAATATTAATAATGTCATTCTACGTAATTATAGAGTGAGCCACTGAAAGGCAAAGTAGAGAGGATACTGCACTGGAGATGGGTTACATTACCAATACCACCAGGTATTAATAATAGCTTTGTTATTGATAATTATCTAGTATGTGTGTACTCTAACCCCTACCCCCATCCCCCAACCCCGCCCTTCCAATTAGCTTAAGTTCCGAATTAGAGGAAAAAACCGGGGCCGAATTGGCATTGCAATAAATTGTGGAGACGTTTTAGGGGCAAATTTCCTATRTGGGATCTGTTTTGTCCACTAAAATAGTCACTGCAGTGTCATCTTATCCACTGAATGATAATAATAATAATTATATAATTATATATATGTATATATAATGTATATGTAGTTGTGTTTCCAAATTCTAGGCATTTTAGCTAACATCAATCAAAATCCTTTGTCTGAATTATTTGAAAACCTGAAATACATGTAAGACCATCTTTACTGCAATTTTCATAAACATGCAAACTCTGTGTCTGCGAGCTGCACGCTGAAATTTCACTGCCGTCAATCAAACATAATTAGTTTGTATAATAAGTAGTACCTTTCATATTTTGACTGATGGCAGCAAAAAAAAACAAATTTCGACATGCAACTCAGAGACACAGAGTTCGTATGTTTATGAAAATATACATTAATGCATTATTCATATTATGTTAATTAWTGCTTCATTTAATTATAGATTATCAAGCTATAGTTGAAGAGGGCACTGATGAGAAAGACAAAGAAAYTGACGTAAGTACAATTTATACTATTGTCTGACACTTTGAGTATTTTCACTCWTATGCATACTGTGAATTATGCCTTGAGCCAATCTATTGGGAATGAAATTAATTTTGATCACTCACTGTATTTGAA